TAATCTGCATTGGCTGGCAAGTTCACTGTTTATAATGGATCAACATCTTAGCAACTTTACTATCTACATTTCTTTATTATATATATATGAAACAGAGTTAAAAGTTTCATCACAAAGTGCAGGGCTGTAGCTGTTCAGTATCTGAAAGTAAAAATTGCCACATAAAAAATGTCAAGATTCCATTATCAATGTGCAATTTTTAAAAATTTTTTTATTTTCAAAGCGAATTTTGAAATGTATATGGTTTGCATTAGAATTCCAGAAGATAGCGATAGGATTATGAATGTTAGCAAAGTGTTTATTTCTCTTTAAAATTTATAGAAAAAATTTCCGCAGAGAGAATTTAAGTAGTGATAGGGAATTTATTAATTATATATTATGCAGAACTATTATGCTCAGTTTTCCGAACAGATGTCCTCATATTAATATTAAATATATTTAAAAAAAAAAAAACTTAAAATAGAACAAAATAAGTCAATTTTTTTTTTTTTACATTATTTGTCCAAACTTTTTTTATGAATTAAATTTGAGTAAAATAAAGGCAAAGAAAAGCTGATAAAGTAATCCCTGATTCATACTTTCATCTACTGCTAAGGTACGAAGAGTAACCATCTCAAATAAGTTCCCTTGGTTTTTTGACATGAATCTTTTTATTTCTGAGAACTGCTTTTGCAAATGGAATATTTTTAAGATTCCTTATAATTATGCAAAGTTTTAGTATAATAACTAAGTCAAAGGTCATGCCCTCTTTTTGTGTCATTTCAGTATGTTTATAACTTGTAAACATACAAAGTAAAGTAATAAGCAATGCATATGATTTTCCAGTGACACAAAATAGAATATTTAAGTTTTTAATTTAAATTTTAAAGTTTACTTTTTTGATACATATGAAGTATTGTAATCACTTGTTGCATTTAAAAATACATTATGCGATAAAACATTGAAACAGTATGTAATACAAAAGCAAAAAGGAATCAAATTTATTGAAACTATTTAAATATTTTAAATATTAATGTAAAAATTTGCAGAAAGATTATTAAGAAATTCAGTAAGAATAAAAACTTTAATATAATAATTCTTCAGGATAAAATTCACTTGATCTGGCTAAATCATTAACTATATCTTTTTCTATTTGGTTTACTAAATCAGTTTCACGTTTCATGAATATAAATGTTTCTAAATCTGTATTTGATCAAGAAAATCTCTATATTCAAAGAAGCAACAAAATCAATTTGAAGCCTTTCACATATGTGTTGAAGCACTTGTTGGAAAATCTGATGTTGGTGTTTACATAATAATTGAGCTTGGGAAGAAACAATTACAAGTGCTGTGTAGGATAGAGGATATCATTTTCAGAAAAGGTCTTTGCCAGTTCACAAGGAATATGTAGAATGGGAAAAATGAATCATCATTTTCTTTAATAATAAAACAAATTGAGCAACTATAGATGTCATGCTTGGTATTACATGCAATATTGAATTATAAAGTTTTAAAAATGTGAAAATTTCAATGGAAATATCTGATACACCCACATACAGAAAGGAAAAATATAAAACCCTTTTAACCGTTTTGAGATCATCTGCCTTTGTTTAAGACATTCCCATGGGTAGGAGTCAAAAGGAATAGTTCCCCAGGATGAGATTTTGCATCACTAAGCCTAACTTTAGGGGAAAAAAGTCCTAATGTCATAGATTTTTGGTATCATTTTATATTATTACTTAAGGTGTCATGTACACTGCGCAAAAAAAGGGGGGACAGTTCTGTGTGTCCTGTTCTACTGGGCTGATTGACAAAATTCAGTTCTATGGGTCCTGTTCTACTGGGCTGATTGACAAAATTCAAATTGTGTTTTCCATGTCTCAAAAGCGCGACTTAGTGTATTTTAGATTTATATGAAGCATTGTTCTAACATAGGTATTTTTACCTTTTTCTGAAATAACATTCCAATTTTTTCCATATTTCGATTCTACGACTCAAATTAAGCCTAGATATTAAATTTTGTAAAATATTTGGCACCAAGACTAATTCACTTGCCTAACTTCTTAATATGTGGCAACCAATTTTCCTTTCCCTTCCATTATGCCAGAGTGGGAAAAAAAGGCACCCCATTCCTACCTTTTTTGCATTGTGCATGAGCGGAGAAAGTCACATCATATCTCTATTTTCAAATAATTTTAGCAAAGTGTGTAAACCACATATGATGTTTTATCACTTTCAACAAATATGCCAAATTTCAAAACGTGCAATATATAAATTCACGTATATTGTCGGAAATTTTGAATAAAAAACTAATTTTTTGCAGGTGTGCTTAGAAGTACGTCTACTTTAAGATGATGGTAAAAATTTTATAGATTATAATTAAAAAAATTTTTTGAAAAATTTATAAAAAATTACTTAAAAATACAAATTAAAAAAATAAATCATAAAAAATGGGGGAATTTTATTTGGAATGAACCTGAATTTCGAAATGTGAAAGGAAAAAGTTTAATAAAAAAAAAGAGAGATTACTAAATATATACCAAACTCAAAATTGAGGAGCTAATTTTTTAAAAACTACTCGTGCGATTTTTACAAAACTTGGTAGTTTGACATAATTTGAGTCGCAGAATCGAAATATGGAAAAAAATTGGTATATTATTTCAGAAAAAGTCTGGTTTTTGCATCAGAATACCTATATTAGAACAATGCTGTATATAAATCTAATAATAAGTCACACTTTTGAGACATGAAAAATGCAAGTTGGATTTCATCAATCGGCCCAGTAGAACGAGAGATATAGAACTGTCGTCCCCCTTTTTTTGTACAGTGTACATTAAAATTAGTATTTAATAATCTTTTTCCTGTACTTTACATGGAACTATATAAAACAATTGCTTACTGTGAGAAATAATTTTCAAAAATGTTATTCAAATTATTCTGAAGTTTTAACTGACAAAATATATCAATAAATGCTTAAATTCGTAAAACAATATCAGAAGTAAGTCTTTTACAGTAAATTTAAGGCAGGAACTTAGAGAGCTCAGTCTGACAAAATGTCCATATCAGAATGACCAGAAATCTTGTTAACTCTTTAGAAAATGAATCGTTAGTCTCAGCCCTGTCACTCATTGGCTCATTTACCATGTGAGTATATCTTTCCTCTGATAAATAATGTTTGCTCACCATAATAAACTGAAGTCGAGGATTTCTGGAATAGAATGGCTAGTACAGGAAATATAATTGACAAAAATAACGTAGAGCATAACAAATTCCACATAGTAACTCTAAAAGACCATATATCATAGTAGCTCCCCCTAAAAAAGGGAAGAAATAAATAAAATAAACTAGAATAAAGTTTCAAAGGGATATTGCAAATGGGAGTGCTTATATCATGTTTCGAATAAGAGCCAAGCTGTGTTTGTTTACATTATGGTTTCCCTTCTTCCCTGCAACAGCCAACACTAAAGTTAGGTAGAATATGATCAAACTGAAGGTCAAGATCATAAAACTATGTTCAGTTCAAGAGTAATGGACACAGGATGCCACTTAGTGGTCTTTAAAAAAGTGGTTCAGCTTAAAATGCAAATGTGCATTACCCGCTCTCTAAGCTCATTGGCCAATAATGCATCGGTGGGATGCCCGACTGTGAGAAATGTTAATAGGGAATGCATATATGGGATGCCTGTCTAGAAAGGGTTAATGCTCAGAATGAACTAAAATTTTAAAGGGTTACCAAGTCCTTAAAAAAAGCAGTGGGGAAGGTTACTGCTCATTGTGTATATTCCTGTTGGACAATCACTCTGCGTATAATGAAACAAAGTTGATGTATAATTGAATGATGTAATGTTTTTTTACAAAACAGAATTTATGCTCACATAGACCTTAAGCGTCTAAATGAATATAAACTAGTTAAGTTTTAAATGTAGATAGAAATGTAATGTTTTGCAAGTATATTACAAGACATTAAGGAACATTTATGATCCTTTAATTAAAAAAATAATAACGGTCCAAATCAACTTTTTTGTGTGTATTATGGTGCCCATTGTGTTGAGAGTTAAAAAAATAATAGTTGAAGTAAAGTTCAAGGTTTTTTTTATTAATAATAAATTATTCCTTTTATGTGATTTAAATAAAATTTTTATAACATTCAACTTTGTGCATACATCATGTATTTAAGAACTGAGCCTGAGCATAGCTTATTTTTTAACACAAAAAAAAAAAAAAAAAAAAAAGTTAAGGAAAAACTGTAAACCTTCACAAAAATTAATAAAATATGAAAATTAAAAAAATATTCAAAAAACGTCTGGCAGTTCTGATATGATTTTAAAAACTGTCATTAATTATAATAAAGCTGCAGAAATGTTCGTAAAGAAGTATCAGTTGGATATATTATACATTAAATGTATTTCATTTTATATCATTTATATGCATTATTAAAAAAAAAGTAAAATAGAATTTAATTATTAGGAAGTGCATTTGTTTTTAAATTACTTAGTTTTAAATCAGATAGCTTGATTAAAATTTAAGAGGTAAATATTTTTATGCTTTCTCCAAATACTAGCACTTAGCTTTGTACAAGGGTGCATGGAATATAAATTAAAGCTTGCTTGTTTCATACAGTGGCAGCATATGCCAAAGCAGATGGATGGTGAATGCTGCTGTAAGATCCTTTCCTCTCTACATTTGCTAGCTTTCTAGTCTTGATTATGTCTATGCATTGTATTTTCCCAGAGGTATTTTGCTGAAAACTGTGTTAATTGAAAAACAATACATATTTCTTCAAGGGGTGAAAAGTTGTCCAAAATGACTTCCATTGAATTAATTTGGGCTGGGATTGCGATGTATTCATTGTCATATAGTATTCATCTTAGTATTGTAGTAAATGTTTTCTGTAATGCTAAAAGTTGCATTTTTATGATAATAGCTTACTTCAGTACAAATATGCCGCATATTATTTATGATAATAATTCAAATGAAATAGGAACAATCACTATAATTGATCCATTGTTTTGCTTTTCTAGTGCTGCATTGGCAATTGTCCTCCATGTGAAATGCCATGTGGAAGGGTGCTAAACTGTGGAAAGCATAAGTGTTCTAGTGTATGTCATCCAGGCATGTATTATCCTATTTTATATGAAAAACGTTTAGTATGTCTTAAAAATAATGCAATACATTCAGTATATTCATATTGTCACTCTGCAGATACATAAAATTTTCTACCTCCCCTGATATATTCCTCATTGTTACTGCATTTTTAATGAATTAAATAATAGTGTTCGATGAAATTGCTATGTGGAGGATAAGGAATTAGACATTCCTCCATTGTGATGCTATTGTGTAGTAGTCAGCACATCAGTCTAATGGGTGGAAAATTTGGGTTCAGTTCTTAACAGGGTCTTTTATCATGTATCAAGATGCTTTGGTTTTCTAAATCCATTGCTTATATAGCAGTGTTTCTTAACCTTTCTATCGAGTCGCACCCCATTGAATCTGAAAATATATCTCTGCACCCTATTGAAAAATGTGTTTTAATTTTTTTAGTCTAGAAAAATACATTTTTTGCGAACCTTATTGTTTATTGAAAAAACATTGTACATTTTATATAAATACAAAATAATATTATTTTATGAATGACTAGTTGCTGTTGTTTGTTCATTTTATATGGCAAAGCGAAGTTCCTTTTTTGAAAAGACGTGCGCATAAGTCATCACTGGCATTTAAGTGATTTCTCGCTTTAGTTTTTATGTGCAAAAGCGATGAAAATCCCATTTCGCACAAGTAGATTGGTAGCAAAAGGTAAGAGTAAATGCACTGCTCCGTTCGCCAATTCTGGATAACGTATTGTAACTGTGAACACCAGAATTGCTGCAGTTCTAATTGTTCGAATTCCATTTGAACATGTCCACTTTCTCGCATTTCAATAAGATTGATCTTTTTTCAGATCACTATCATCCATCAAATTTAAAGTCAAATAGAAATGGATCCAGTATCCAATCTCTGAGTCTCTGGTAGTTTTCCGGTAGAAAAATATCCATTGAATGAATCGCTCAACCGTTTCAAATGTATTACATGTCGGGTATAATTGTATTCTTTTCATTTTTCACAATAACAGAATCAAGCAAGGGAAAGTTTGCAAAATTCCCCTTCTCTATCGACGTATCCAAATTTCTAATTTTGCGATAAATGAAGATAATTTTTCACTAGATATTATTATATTTATACCAAATCCTTGCATTGATAGATTGAATTCATTTAAATGGCTAAGTATGTCTGCTAAGTAGGCCAGCCTCAGCATTGCATCGATACTCTCAAAATCTTTCACTAAATAATAGTTTTGACTAGTCAGTAATTGAATAATTTCCTCATGCAATTCAAAAACTCTGTTAATCATGCGACTCTTAGATAACCATCGTATTTCGGTGTGATATAGGAGTACGGTATGATCAGCACTGTTTTCTTCGCAAAATGTACGGAAAATGCGATGATTAAGCGCTTGCTCTCGGATGTATTTTACTAAATTTACTGTTGTAGTTAATGTTGTTTTTAAACTTTCTGGCAATGCTTTCGACGCAAGTGCATGACGATGCAACATGCAATGCGTTATTTATTATAACTTACGGTAATTCTCTTTTCATGTGTGAAAAAAATCCTGAATTTTTGCCTAACATTGCTGGGGCTTCATCAGTGCATATTGAGCTAATCACATTCATTGGTAATTGATATTTAGTAAAAAAATCTTTCATGCGATTGAAAACATGAATTCCTCTCATATTCACCTCCAATGGCTCACAAAATAGAAATTCTTCTATCACGTCTTTTTCCTTCACATACCTGACAAATACCAAAAGTTGGCTACAATTATCAACATCAGTTGACTCATCCATTTACATGCTTATTTTTAGTAGGACTTGATTTTTATGTCTTCAATTAACTTGCATTAAAATATCTTCACTTGAGATCTTGTAATTCGCGATCGTATAATATCATTCGATAATGGAATCTGTTGGATTTTTTATGTGCTTTTGAATCTAAAACTGTTTTAGCAATAATTAAAGCAGAAGGTTTAATCAAACTCTTCAGCGATCGTGTGAGGTTTCTTTTTTTTTTTTTTTTTCACATTTTTTTTTGCAAATATGCCACTTGATATTGACGCTTCTAATAAAGGATTTTGAATTGCTGGTCCGCACAAATTTAGGATAGTTCCACTGATATCAAACCGAGCCTTTCTTTGACCTTCAAGCTGTTTATGCTATGCGCTTTTTCGCCACCATGCAGATTGTTGAAATACTCTAATAACATTGATGGTTTGAAGATTGCTGTTTGAAAATATCTTGGACCACAACAAGATGCATTGCGGTCGTTGCGTGCCATCTTTTTCGGTTGTGCAGGTAAATCCATAACCGGCATACTTATCGTTCCATGACGTTTTTTGACATAGAGGGGTTCACTATAATCGATTTAATATTTAGAAATAATGTAATATAATATATATAATGTTCTTACGTTTGTAATATCACTGAATCCTATTCGGCTTGAACGGGCAATTAAGAATGTATTAGTCTCAAGAGGTTTCTGGACAAGTCAGAATACACAATACACATGTCGCAGACACAATAGTTGACTCAACTTGACTCAACCTAACACAGGCGCAGTAGATGCAGATATAAATCTGTGAATCTGTAGATTCCGTTGGAGTAGCACATATTGAACTCAGCGCATGTGCAAGCTGAGATAATGTTCTCTGCTTGTATTCCCACAAGGTTTTTTTCTTTTCTCTGTCACCTAGCTGCCTGTTTGCGTTCGTTTATAGTGTTTCATGCCTTTTCGTAGCGTAGTATATATGCCCATCAGCACCGGCCCTTTCCTGTGTCTTTTACCGATAAGTGAGCTAGGTGCTACCAATTTGTTTTAGCTTCAATATTGGGGACACTATTGCAGATTTCAAATATTTTATTATAAGAACTTTAATAAATGATATTTAGTAATTTTTATGCTTAGGCTTCTCCCGCACCCCCAAAGATGCATTCGCATACCCCCAGGGGTGTGGGCACCCCCGGTTAAGAACCACTGCTATATAGTGACACTCAAATTGAAATATGGTAGACAATAATTTGTCACCAGCTTGGTTCGCCTGATTAGATATTACCTTATAACAAATATAAACAGTACGCCTTTATGGATCTTCAGTTGATACAATACACTAACTACCAATAAGTTTTTGGACACCTGCGATGGAAAAGAAAAACTAACTTTATTCAAAATCAATAGTTCGTAGAGCATCCACGAGAGGTAATTACAGCGTGGACACTCCGGGGCATATTTTCCACAAGTCTTTGTATGACAGCTAGTGGTATTTTCTTCCACTCGGCTTGGAGAAGACATAGAAGTTCCTTCACTGATTTTGCACGGGTAGTGCACTCCTGAATTCGGCGATGCAACTCGTCCCAGAGGTTTTCGTAGAGTTCAGGTCTGGACTTTGGGCAGGCCATTCCATTCAATGAACTCCATTGGCACAATACCAAGCCTTGGTTAACGTCCAAACATGACAACTGGCATTGTCATCCTGAAAGTAACAGGCGTCCAACCGTAAAACTGCCACAACGTAGGAAGCACATTGTCATCCAAAATAGTGCAGTAGGCATCGGAGTTGAGCTTACCATGAATGGGGACCAAGGGTTCCAGCCCATACTAGGAGAAACACCCCAGACCATAATTCCACCTATGCCAAACTTGACTGTTGGCACAATGCATTCTGGCAGGAGACGTTCTCCAGGTAGACGCCAGACTCAGACCCTGCCATCCAAACGGTAAAGGGTGAACCTTGATTCGTTACTCCAAAGAACCCGTTTCCACTGATCTACGGTCCAATTTCGATGTGCTTTGCACCACATTAACCGATCAGCGTGGTTGGACTTTGTGATCAAAGGCTTATGGGCAGCAGCACGACCATGAAAACCACGCAGATGTGCTTTCTTACGGATGGTATTCATTGAAACAATATTCCTGGATGCCTGTTGAAACTCGTCGCGGATGAGGGCCATCGATTGGGTGCGGTTCTTCCGAATTTCTCTGGACAGCACTCGTCGGTCTCTATCTCCCAGTTTCGTTGGTCTGCTGACTTGGGGCACATTCCGACAATCACCGCTCACCTTCCACTTCTTAATCACATAGGCCACTGTCGATTTTGGGTACTTCAGATGGCTAGATATGTCCCTTAAGGATCGGCCACATTTGTGATACCCGATAATTATACCTTTCTCGAAATCAGAGAGCTCCGAACTGCAAGGCATCTTGCATGCGACTAAAGCCGATGCTGTTTCCTACACGATATATAACGGCGGAGTCCATGACGTACCTTAGGACCGCAGATATCGTCATTTGCATAGGTGTCCAAATACTTATTGGTAGTCAGTGTATAATACAATGCAAATAAATTCTTACTATGAAATATGAAAATATGAAATAAAAAGATTACCATATCAACATCAAATGTAATTTTTTATTCACCAGCTCAGTAGTCAAAAATCTCATCTTCTATATTTTAATAAACAAATCAAATTCTAAAGATAAAAACTGTTGCCAAAAATGATAATACAATAATATGCAAAGTAAACATTTATAATTATTAAAGTATTATGAGTATTAAACTATTGTGAGTTACGTTCAAACTAATTATTTATATTTTATGCCGTTACAACCTTTTCTGTACCTGTAGGTGATATTCAGGTGTGAGTAATTAGATTTTCTTCCTACACAGTGACGTAAATACACGTATGCAAGGAATGCCATCACATGGGGCCCCAAAGACTTAAATTGCCCTTGAATGTCCTGCTGAATTACATTTGTGTGTTTAAACGCAGAATCGGAAGGATACATATGTAATGGAATCTGTCTTCTTTTCAGTTTTTAAGGGCATGAGGCAGTTAGGTGGGCCCTTAAATACTTAAAAGACTACACACACATATATTTATATACTCATGTCCAAAATTATGTTTACATGCATAAATTCACGGATTTCTCAGAGACTATAACTTATAATTTAATGAATTTTCGTGGAATCATACATAACATGATGACACATAAATGCAAAAGAAAAAATTGAAGATCACCTCATATGATATAAAATTGTAGCATGAAACAATAAAAATGGTAATTAAGTGTGACAAAGAGAGTTAAGAAAAAAAGGAATGATTCAGAAAAAAAAAGAATTAAGTCTTACGAATTTAATATGGAATATGATCTCCCCTGACTTGTACACACATATCACAACGTGTTTTAAGGCTGGAAATAACGTTGTTAACCACAGTTTGGGGAATTAATCTCCACTCTTCCAGCAATGCCGTCTTCAGAGCATTTACATCTCTAGGAGGAGGATGTATACGTGCAATTGCTCTTCCAAGGTAGTCCCATAAGTTCTCTATCGGGTTAAGGTCAGGAGAGTTTGGTGGCCAAGGTATTCGCTTAATGTCTTCACTTTCAAGGAATTCATCAACGAGGTTTGCTCGATGTGGACGGGCATTATCATCCATAAATAAAAAGTCAGGTCCATATGCACCCCTGAAAAGTCTTACATAAGGATCTAAGACCTCATCTCGATATATCTGGCCTGTCACAGATCCGCTGCTGAACACGTGTAGGGGCGTACGTCCATCGATCATTATTCCACCCCATACCATCACACACCTCCACTACCGAAACGGTCACGTTCCACAATGTTCGAGGGATCATTTCGTGTTCCTGACTCCCTCCAGATGTAAACACGTTTAGAATCACCAGTTAAACTAAACCGCGACTCATCAGTAAAGAGAACATGGGACCATTGATGTTCAGTCCAGTTTTGATGTTCTTTACACCAATTAAAGCGATCCCTCTTTTTCTGTGAAGACAGTAAAACACATACCCTTGGCTTTCTGGCATAAAGGCCTTTTTCATTAAGCCTTCTGTATATTGTTTGCCGTGATGCAACAGTTCCAGTGGCGGCTGCAAGCTCTGAACTTAACTGGCGAGCAGTAGCCTTTCTGTTACGACGGGCAGTTAATGCCAGATACCGATCTTCAGAAGCAGTTGTCATTCGTTTCCGACCTTGTCCAGGCCTCCTTACAACACTTCCATCATTTTGAAACTGTTTCCATAGCTTAGAGACTGTCTGTCTTGAAATATTCAGACATGTGGCTGTTTCCATGATTGACTGCCCTGCTTCTAAACGGCCGATAATTCGCCACTTTACAGATTCTTCCAAATGATACTTCGAAGCCATAACAAACCGCTTTGAGTCCCTACACACTGAAATCAAACGCTATGTTGCAGAAATTCACTCAAATATTCAGTTTGCGCAAAGCGCTTGATTCACCCTTGGATGACGTAACGCCTAGATTTGCATATCACAAACCGTTTGATTACTTTTGATTGGATAATGCTAATTAGGCTTGGTTTTCACACATTCCCTGCAAATACGGATCACATTGATTCGATAGTTCATTGAATATCATCATTTTTGGGTATGTAAAGATAATTTTGGACATGAGTGTATATGAGATGCAAATGGGGGTTCTTGGGAGATAGAAAACAGCTGAATTCAATGCTGTGTACACTGAAACTACAACTGAATACAAAACAAATAGCTCTATATGTTTTTGTTTTGATTTTCTTGTAGAGAAGAGCTTTCAAGTTATTAGTTAGTTACAAGTTAGGGACCAGTCTGCTGCTCAGGTTTAGTGTGAGGATAAGTTTGGAATTTTTTGGGATGAGCACATGACAAAGGTGGCAAAAATGAAGTTACAGGAAGTCAGGCCCCAGAAGTTCACTAAAGTTAACAGAAATCTCAGTTTTAGAAAACAATTTTATATTGCAGCCATATGTCAGATTTTAACATAAATATGAAAAAAGTGAGATGGTTGAGGTCAAAATTACTATTGCTTTTGGGCTTCATACCAATTCCTGTTTTAGAACTTGGTTATACAATTAATTTATTTACATATATCTCATAGTAATGGTTCAATCCAGAAAAACATTTTAAAGAAGTTAAAATTTCTGTTCCTTTCTATTCATATTTCCTACCTTCACAGTTTTCACATTTTTTTAGTCGTCAGACTAGTTTAATTTTTCTGATGCAAATTAATTTCAATGCTAGTTTTTGCATATATAATTTTAGGAAAATGTATGTAAGCTTCTTTGCTTGATTATTTTTTAAACTCTTAATGAAATCTTTGATATGATTCGTAAACTATTGATGTGAATATATTTGAACTTGCATCACATAGAAGAAAGATGTGATAGTTATTACGGAAATCGACTGAAAGTGGACTTTCATCAATTGTAGTCCTTTCATACTGGTCATTATAATAGAAAGACCATTATAACAAGCATCGATCATGCTAACAATTTCTGGCATGTTTTTCTTAGAATCTAACCATTTAGGTTTTCACTTTCCAAATCAGAGAAACTATAAAGGCAGCAGACTGGAATTAGCTATTTTACATAAACAATAAATGTTTTCCTGAAAAATGAAGACACCCAATGGAAGCTTTTCATAATGATATAAGCCAATTAAGAGTATTACCTAAAAGATTCTTATAAAGCTTTTCTCTGAAATTTCCCATAACTGTTTTTGAAATATAGGTCAGAGCTACAATATCTCAACAAAAAAGGCTCTGACTGAAATATCGGATAGAGAAATTCTTCCACTTTAACCCGTTAGGCATTAAGGATAGTTATTGTCCTATGACTTTCCCTGCCTCTTGTCTGATGGCAATTTGTGCTACTCACAATTATACAGTTTCTTCATTTTCTGCTTAATTTCCTTTCATTTTCTGCTTAATTTCCTTTCATTTTCTGCTTAAATCCCCACTGCAGAGGAGCAGTGAAATGTTAGCTCGGTGCAAAAAACTTTCATCGTGTTTACCATATTTCACATGCTCTTTAGAATTCTGCACTAATACTACCAAAAATGCAAAATCAATGAAATATAAGGAAAATATTATATAAAAAAGTTTTTTTTAAAACTAAAGGATAATATTAAAAAGGATACACACATTAAAAAAAAAAGCTATTATCACAAAAATGCAAGAAAGAAAAATGGAAAGTGATATAATTTAAATGATTAAATATTTGCTACAGTACAAAAGGGGAAAAAGTCAATAATTAAAAAAAAAACTAAATGAGAATATTAAAAAGAATACTCAAATAAAAAAAGATAAAACTATGCTTAATATCACAAAATTGCAAGTGGATTTGGTGTTAAGCTAAAATCTGCTATTTGAGGAATATGTGCATAAAGCTAAAATTGTTGCTTGATTTTCATAAAAAATGAAAGCGAATTATCGATTTCTGTAAGGAACAAATGGTCAAAAATTATTTTCATGCTTATACACAAAAGTGATTATTACATATATCAAAATAAATTGTGATGTAGCAGTAACCTTTCTCAATTTCATTTATTTATGTATCTTTACAGGACCTTGTTATCCTTGTCGTGAAGTACTGACCATTACTTGCAATTGTGGAGCTACCAAAATTAATGTGCCATGTGGAAGGAAAAAATCTGTTCCTCCACGATGTTCTGCTGATTGCAAGTTAGTAATTTCCATTGTTTTAATGTAACTGTAACCATATCTGTACATCAGTGAGCATTGTAGTTCTGCTCATGTGTGTGTGCAGATGCATACATCCTTGTAACTTGTTTTTGTTAAATATGAAAGCTGTTGCATTGTGAAGATAACTACTGATTTATTTTATTAAGTGCATTTACTTATCTTCCAGTATAATAAACATGTCTTATGACCTAGTACAGTATAGTGGTGTAATGCTACATAACAGAGTGGTGGCAGCAGATATATGCAAATATCTTACCAGGCTACAACAGGGTAATATACCAAAGGTGTATCAGAATAGTGGATATAACAGAGTGGTGGAAAAATTGAGCATGCATCATGCATATATATCCAGAGGATATGTCATCAGTTTATTAATTAAAAGCACTAAATCGAAAACATTGATATAGAAGAGGTAAAAGTTACAGGTATTTAAAAAATTTCTCTGATTTCGATGGCTTCTCACACGTATGTGAGGCTGTGTGTGACATAGTGTTTTAAATGCACACATGCAGGAAATCTGCATGGATTCTTCTGTAATGTCATGTACCTGATCTGCTTATCTGCTTGAGCCTATTTTTCCTTCTTGTTGTAGTCAGGAAACATTTTTAAAAAATTTTCTTGTGCCATTTCTGCATTTCTTCTAAAGTGTATTTTTAATTACTGTAATTTCCGAAAGAAAGGCTGCATCAGCTTAAACGCCGCACTCGGAAAAAAATTATAATTACACAGAAATGCCATATCAGCGTAAACGGCACAATAGATTAAACTGAGCGTGACATCGTTGTGGGCCATATAGATGCAAAATCTCAACCTAAGTCCTGATATATGACATATCAGTTAAGAAAAATGCATGAAATGAAACCATAACTCAAAAATAAATTAAAGGTAAGAAATGTTGAAAATATATTTAAGATCACGTATATACTTTTATTTACCTACTAAAGAAGTCCATATTTGTAATACTCAGACTATATTACAAAAAAATGTTGCAACAACGGAATATTAAATTTGGATGACAAAAGGAGATTTTAAATTTTACTTACAAAAGGAATTACAGCAAACTATACATCGTATGAAGCCGTCAAAATCTGATTCTTCACTATCTGAATTAAAAAGATTTAGTAAATCCTGATTTAAGTCCAAGTCTTCCAGATCGTCACATTCATCCTCTTGGTTTACAGTCTCTTTATCTAAGGATATAATTTCAGCTTCTTTGAACCCTGCTATTATTGATGATGTTTTTACCGATTTCCACGCACTTCCTACCCACTTTGCAATTCTTCATAAGATGCTCTACGCATTACCGCTTTTGGTTACGTATGCAATCCTTCACTATCCTACACTCCCACCGCTTTCAGACTTCAACTTTGAAAGGATTTATTAACTGACAAATCTAATGGTTGTAAGATTTTGTCAAATCCCCAGGAATTATTACTAAGGTCGTAGACAGGTTTTTGACATCTGGTTTCACTGACAAGTAAATGAAGCAACGCATGGAATCCATTATCAACAACCCTTTTGGTTGGAAAAATGATCCCTTACGACACTGCCAAACAACTTTTTGTAGCCACTCATGCATGATTATTTCGCACATTTATCCATTCTTGTTTGCACAAATAATTATGTCATTAGGAAAAATCTCCCTTCGGAATAGTCTTTCCTTTAAAAATGATCATCAGCTTTAGCTTGTCACCGTTTGCGGCACAAGCTAACACACATGTAAATGACGTTCTTTCATGCCCCATCGTAAGCACAGATGCTGTTTTTGCACCAGTTTCATCAAGAGTTCTGTTTGTAGGAGATTCGAAAGCTAACGGCGTTTCATCCATATTTATTATCTGTGACTGAAGAAGTTTTTTTTGTATACTATTGAAATCTGTGTGCGTCTGTTTGTTTGTGTGTAACCTCATCTTCTCGAGAACGGCTGGCTGCAGAACTTAGCGAAGCATACCCTTGGATTCAGGACATCCGTGGCTCAACATTTTGGCCATTGGCATCGTCGTGCGACGTTAATTAGCAGAGATGCTAATTAGGCCTAAACTTGCAGAAAAAATCGGTATCTCGGAAACTTACCGGCCGATTTCTTTCAAATTTTGAATTTTAAACCTGCGAGATGATGAAACGACTGATGGCGTTGATTCCACACTGATTTGGGAATTAGGAGCGTAGTTAACAGGGTAATTAAATAATATATATCACAGATAAATATTTATTATCTGTGACTGAAGAAGTTTTTTTTTCCTATGCTATTAAAATCTGTGCACATCTGTTTGTTTCTAACCTCATCTTCTTGAGAACTGCTGGCTGCAGAGCTTAGCGAAGCATACCGTTGGATTAAGGACGTCTGGGGCTTGCCATTTTGGCTAATACTCCTTTTTCTTTCCTTCCCATATCTTTGTGGACAGGCTGGGATTCGAAGGCGGTGGGTTTTGAGGGGTTGCAGCTGTATCCGGTCGACCGTTGGAATTGTCAAAGCCATTCGCCAGGGACAAAATTAATGTAGTGAGCAACTAACGTATCGACCCATCTCCAAAACCAGTTTTTCCCCACTGGACAGCAAGTTGAAAAATTTGAACTGCAGGCATAGCGGAGCTAGTTGACACATGAAACTGACTCCGTTAGCTCAGATAAGCCCCAGTGGGAATGGCCCTTTAGATTCACCAAGGCCATTCCCCAAGGACGAAATTAACGTACTGAAGCATTTTTAGTCATTTTGCTAATTAATCACCTGATTTGCCAATCCATCTAGAACAAAGGGCATCCCTCATTTGACTGTCTCTCAGTTGTAAATTTCTAAATTTGGAGCCGATCGATCGCATTATTGGTTCCCAAGATACAAATTTTTAGTGACTTTTTCTTATTTAGAGAAATTGCGCCAGAAAAATGCACAAAAATACGTAACTCTTGAAAGAATTAACCGATTTCTTTCAAATTTTGAATTTTGCACTTCCCAGATGTTCTAACGAATGTTGCCGTTGATTGCACACTGTTTTGCGATTTAGAAGGCTAATTAGCAGGGTCATGAAAAACGCCCTAATACCTCTTTCTTTCCTTGGGAATTCTTTGTTGACAGCCTGCGATTCGGGGGAACAGATGGCATCCGCATGAGCTTTGGGTTAACGAAAAGTAAAAGTTCCCGGATTTACACGTGGAAAATAATTTCCAAATTAACAACTTTCCTTCTAATTAACTTACCAACGTTAAACAAGTATCAACATTTAGACTCTTGCGATATATTTAATGTTTTGCTCCCTATTTTTTTAAAGACCTATTGATTTGTGCTAAACATTTCTTTTATTATTGCTTGAAAAATTGCATTTACATTTCATATTTTATACATTTTTTTTCAGGTGTATATAGAACCTATATTTTTTTCTTTTCAGATGCAAATACATTTTTGACTCAGTGCATTCATTTTTGCATACGCACATGCACATACATATATGATTGCATTAATAGATATATTGTTGTAAATTTTGAATTTAACAAATGTCTGTCTCTGTTCGCATAAAGCTAATATTAAATTTAATTTTAATTAAGAAAGTTTAATTGCAAAAAAATAAATATAAAAATAATTAAACTATTTATTTAAATTTTGACTAAATTTTTTCCATTCAAGGTTTTAAATTGAATTTCTGTGCTTGGACATGATATATGGAAAGTTTTCTTATAAATAATTATGAATGATTAATTACATTAATATATATATATTGATGCACTTTGTGTATGATTATGTTGAAGTTTATCAAAGGGAATTTTAATAACAAATCTACTGTTCAAATATTATACCCGAAAATTTTTTTGATTACAGTTGGTAAAGAGGCCAATTAGCGACTGAGCAATAAAATCGCTGAACATTGGTAGTTCGGACCATCTTTCGAATCCCGGCAAAAGTGCTGTCTCCATGGGTGTTTTCGTGATTTTACGCATGTGTATCGTGTATGCAGTATCTTCTGGATGCATACGAGAGTAAAGGAGGCGAATCCCGCGCAAATCCGCTAAACATTGGTAGTGTTCCATGGGCTGGCTCCATGGGTGTTTTCATGATTTTCTGCATGTGTAACGTGTATGCAGTTCTTTTGGATGCATACGAGAATAAAGCGAGCGCAGCCCGGGTAAAATCGCTGAACACGGGTAGTTCCATTCAACTTTCGAATAAAGGCCAACGGGCTGGCTCTGTGGGTTTTGTGGTTTTCCAGATGTGTATCGTCTATGCAGTATATTCTGGATGCATATTTTAATAAAGCGGGCACAGCCCACGTAAAAACAACTAGGCACTGGTAGTTCGTTCCAAATTTCGAATCTCGGCCAGCGGGCTGGCTGCATGGCTGTTTTCGTGATTTTATGCACGTGTAACGTGTATGCAGTATCCTCTTGATGCATACGTGAATAAAGCGGGTGGAGCCCGTGCAAAACCGCTGAACACTGGTTGTTCGGTCCAACTTTCGAATATCGGCAAAATTTAACATGGGAACACCTGACCATTGAACAGTCAAAAGGGGGCTTCAGCCTGCTCAGTTGGCATGCTTGCCTACTAGTTTGTCAATAATATCTGTCATATATTTTAGAAAAGATGCCTTTTTATCCTGCCAGTCCATTGGTAATTGTTGCCCGACGGTTGTTCTAGTATGCACAGAAATATTTTTTTTTCATAAAATCCTACACCAGCAAGGACCTACTTTGAAATCATTATGTCATTTGTTTTGCTATAAATTTTGCTTGTAAGCAAATTTTTACAGTCAAAATTGCCATTCCCTTTCCTTGTTGCTCCTTTATCCAGTTTGCAAGGTCAACCTCTAGATTCGGCCACCTTACAGTACCGCTTCTTTTGTGGCATAAATTTAAGAAATTTTTTTTCAGTTCTCCAACGACAAATACATCTCTTGTCCACTTCAAACTCTCGAGCTGCTGCTCTATTTCCAATTTGTTCAACACATGAAATTACATTAAGCTTCAAACCAGCAGTATAGTTTCTGTGCCGTTTAGGTGCCATTTTAAAAAATTTTCCGCTCCCTTCTTACTTAAAAACTATCCAACAAGTACTTGTACCCAAACTGATAGGATCTGTATCTGGCGGAATGCCAAGAAAATTCAATTCATGCTGAAGGGGAGTCAGAGTTCGTTATTGCGAGGCAGGTGGAGTCGAGTCTGCCTTTGAAAAAAATTGCAGAAAAGGCAGGGGTGGGGAGAGGAGGGGTCCTGGAAGATTCATCGAATGGCAGAGGAGAGAGACTATTCAAACTGATGAAAATGTTGATTTGAAAAGGGGAAGAATGTTATTGTTCTGAGATCCCATTTAGGGTGAATAAGGAATGTAGGTCCGTTCAAGGGAAAGAATGTAAACAAAATAACGTTTGCAAAAAGCAACTGAGTGGTCTTTTGTGTGGGAACAGCACCAGTCTATGTACAATGACAAGGCCATTCAAACTATGTACAATTACCATCATAGGAAATATTTTATTTTTAGTGCACCTAAACGCCTTATGGGTAGAAACGATGCTCCCGCTGAAAATTTTAGTTTTAAACACATAAACGCCGCGGCGTTTCTTCCGGAAATTACGGTACTTATTTCAAACTTAATATATTAGAACTCGCTAGCTGCAATTTCTGTCGCAGGTGCTCTGGTTTTGCTCATTGAATATGAGTGTTTAGGGCAACATTGTGTATTATTTTTTAATAATTATATTTCATTTTGTTTTGTGTATTTACTTTTTTGTATATTAATTTCTGTTGTATATATATTTCATCATGCCACTTGCCAATCTGGATGAAAGCAGCTTTGAAAACCAGATTGCACATGTAGAGGTTAAGTCACCATTTTTCTGGAAAACCAACACAGTGGTATGGCTACTTAGACTAGAAGCATAGTTTTCCTTCGCTAAATTGCTTCTGAAATCTTTAAATTTAAGTATATTGTGGCAGCAGTTGATGACGATATTCTCATGTCCATAAATGATATTGTTACTTATGCCAATGATTAGCCATATGAAACTTTAAAGAAGAGTCTAATGAAATCTCACTCGGAGAGATATTGAAGAATATGGTACTTTGCTGCAAGGCATAAAAGTTGGCGACTCATGTCCATCCCCTTTACTTGTGCATATGCATAATCTCATAGGCAAACCTGGAGGGAAAGCACTCCTTAAATCTCTATGGCTGTTGTGTCTTCCTACTATCATAGGGGCATTAAATAATGGACCATCACAGTTGGCTGTTATAACTAACAAAATTCATGATCAGGCCCTTGTGTCTTCCTACTACTACATGCAGCATAGGAGGGGCATTAAATGATGGACTATTGCAGTTTGTTATAACTAACAAAATTCATGATCAGACCTTGTATCCTGAAATCAATGCAGTATGCATTGAACAACTGCCTCAAATTTCATTGCTGTTAGCACAAATGCACAGCTCAGTCAACAGGTAAGTGAACTGACTTCAGTTATGCAGCATCATAACTGCTTCGGAGTTAATAAATTCGAAATTTATAAAGGACACAATTGCAGTCATTCCAAGAGCACTATAAAGAGCCGGCAAACAATTAATGCTTTTATCATATGAATTTTGGCTGTAATGCTAAAAAATTTACTTTCCCATTCTCGTTCGAGCACCAGGCAAACTAATTTGGTGCTTTATCGACTCACAAGGCAGCCAGTCTTCTCATACAAAGCTTTTCCCATCCATCCAGAATATGTGAAGTAATGGAGTCCGCTTTGCATGTGTGCCTCCCACTGTTTGTGTAGTTCATGCTTGAAAATTCTATTCATGGTGAGATCCATTGCCAGTAAAAAATCCATGTGGTATCGCTGAGACAGCAGTGCTAAGTTCTTTGCTTTGGAATTTACCATATTCACTCAGTGGAATCTCGTAGAATCCAGAATTTTGTAAAAAGCTTTTTTTAGTCCAAAGGGGCTTTGTCCCTGAAGGACTATTGTTTTCGTTTTGTAATTATGGGTCGAATCACTATAAATGCAGCAGTTATGCAGCATCGAAACTGCTTCAGAAATAATAAATTCGAAATTTATAAAGGACACAACAATTGCAGTCATTCCAAGAGCACTATAAAGAGCCGGCAAACAATTAATGCTTTTATCATATAAATTTTGGCTGTAATGCAAAAAAATTTCCTTTCCCATTCTCATTCGAGCACCAGGCAAACTAGTTTGGTGGTCACATTTGGGGCATAATTGCAGCTGCCATGTAAATCACATTCTTTTGGCCAACCTTTCATCTAAAGTGAAATGTTTCATTGACACGAGAGGAGGCATTTCCATCCTTCCAGTTATTCATACCAATTTGTTGTGAATGAGGAATTGGTTCTTTATGCTGCAAATGGAACAAAAATCTTAACCTATAGTAATAGACATGTGACTCTTGACGTAAATTTACATATAAAGTTCACTTAGTCTTTCAAAATTGCCGAAGTTAGCCAACCTATCACAGGCATTGATTTTCTAAAGTTTAATTTTTTAGTTGATGGCTAAAAATAATAGTGCAGTTGATGCCAAGACCTGGCTCACTTCACAGTGAAAGGTTGCTGATATTCTGCAAGGTAGCAGTTTAGGTCTTTCCAAGTATGATAGAATTTTGACAAGTATTCAGAAATTCCTAATCTTTCATTTGTACCCAAAGAGCGACCGAGTCATGCTGTTGTTCACCACATTGAGACCAAGTTGCTTCAGTATTTTCTAAATCTTATCGGTTAGAGCCTGAGCTCCTCATGGTTGCTTGCCAGGAATTTGAATTTCTCTTGGCACAGGGTATCATGCACCCATCAAAGAGTGCTTTGGCAGGCCTCCTTCATATGGTTAAGAAACAAATGGCACATAGCGTACATGCACCAGTTACTGTCGCTTGAATACAATCATTGTTGAGGACCATTATCTCCTCCCGCATATCTAAGATTGCATCCAAGTATTTAACAGGAAAAGAATATTTACAACATTAGATTTAGTTAGTATGTATCACTAGATCCCTGTTAATCCAACTGACATTGAAAAAACTGCTGTAATAATTCCATTCGGATTACTTGAAATTTCTGTTTTAAAATAAGTTTTCATCCTAAAAGAATTTTTAAATTGTTTTTGTTGTATTCATAAACATTTATACCAACAGCTTTTCGTTATTTTATTTAGTGTTTGTATGAATATTGATTAAAACAGTATTTTACACATATATAATTATGTTTTATACAGGACAAAATCATCATCATTTTCAGTCTTTCATATTTATAAAATATATAACTGATTTCTCATCTCTTAGGATTCGCCCTGATTGCCACCATCCAGCAAGGCATAAACATAAATGTCATTTTGGTTCATGCCCACAATGTATTTTAATTTGTGGAAAGACGCTGACTTGTGGCCATACATGTCCTGTAAGATGTCATTCTGCAGTCCTAACTAAAATTGAAGTGAAGACGGTAATTTTATATCCTTTCCTTTATCATACATTTTTAAAATGCTATATAAATTTGATCTTTCCTATATAAATGGAAAAAAGGGTTTCTGCTGCCAAACAACAAAATGAAAAAAGGTTTCTGCTGTTGAACAACAAATCTATTACAGAATTTTTACTGCTGTCACCAAAGAATTTACAGCTTAAAGAAATCCATAATGATAGATGGTCACAATTCTAACACCTTTAAATTTTAACACGTATTATCCCAACCCCATCTAAACCTATCCTCATGTGATGGGAAAATCTGCGGGAAACTGTACAAGAGTCAGTTCTCTATAGTGGCAAACATAAATGGATGAAATTACAAAGCTAAAGCCTGCCATCTGGCTGCTTCTGTGACCTTTCAAACTCTTCCTGAAAACCAGAGGCTTCAAAGCTCTATCCAGTGTGTTGGAGCTTCACTTTGTCGAGAAATGTTTAAAGGACTGTAGCAGAATTTAGTTAAAATCTTGACCCAAAAGCTCACGGAAACACTCCAGGAACTCACCGCAGATATTGAAAGGGTGTCTGATCTCGCTTTTTTGAACTGCCCAACAGAAATAAAGGAAATCCAGCCCCTGCAGTACTTCATTAATGGGATCTTGTTTCCTGAGATGCAGAAAGCGCTGCAAATGTCAGATATAGAAAGTCTAAGGAGTGCTTTAGTATATGCCATGAAATTCGAGGCAGCCTAGCAAGCAACTCATACTGTCAGCTACTCAGAGTTGCCCAAGTTCATGTGCCAGTGGATTAACTGACAGCTCATCTAGATGAATTAACCAGAAAAGTTAATGCTTTGAGACAGAATATTAGTGACAAGAAACCGACCTTAAAGTTGATGGAGACCTCTGATGATGAAAGTCACGTACAAAGAAACTACAGAACATCCCAGGGCATGGAAATTAAGACTGCTCCCATCAAGAAGCAGGGAAACTGTTTAGTGTCCATCTTGTGTAGCAGAGGTTGCCAGATAATGAGAAGCTGCATTTTAAAGCGTTTCAGATTTCTGCAGTGAGCGGTGGCAGTAATGGACTCTTCATCATGGAACATATCAATGGAGCCCCTTGCAATATGACCATCGATACAAAAGCTAATGTTACTATCATATGAATTGATCTGGCTTAACAGTTGGAAGGTAAACTCATCTGGACTCCACCCTGCATTACTCTCCATTGACCTCCACCCTGCATTACTCATTGTGTACGGTGATAAATTCAACATCAATGGAAAGTTAAATGTTAACATCATGTTTTAGAGTGCTGATTACCATCACATGGCATATGTAGCAGATATTACTAGCCCTTGCATACTCAGATTACCCTTTCTAGGGAAATGCAATTATTTCTTGTACTTTAAAAATAATGAACTTCATTCTGCCTCTGAAGACATAAACCTGTTCATAAGAGTGGCGATCGTAAGTGATAAAGTGAAAGTTGCTAGGAAAGGCAAAGTGGTTGCAGCATGTACTCCAGTGACCTGTATTAAATGAGCCAGTAGTCCTTCGTGCCTTTAGAAAGCCCAATATTGGAGTTATTGCAGAATACGCTACTAAGCAATGAAGAGAGAAGTGCTGCTGAATGTGCAATTCAAGAATTGTAAGATGTTTCCTCCCACTTATGTTCTGATGTAGGTGGAACCAGTTTGACACAGAATTAGTAGAGGGGGTCATCCACCAATAAGACAACATCCATCTACTGACTGCTAAAGAGGAAGATGTAAGAAAAGTTATAAAGGGCATGTAAGCATGTGAAATTATCAAGCCTTCTGCTAGTTTTTGGCCTCTCCTACCATTCTGATCAAAAAGGAAAATAGTTCATGCATTGTCTATCACTATTTGAACAAGGTCACGAAGAAAGAGAGATCCCCTCTTCCTAGAATTGATGATATTTTGGGCATTCTTTGTAGATACAAGTGGATGTTGATGCATAATTTCAGGACTTGATATTGGCAGCTAGAGATTCACCCTGATGACAGAGAAAAGATGACATTTACTACCAGACAAGGACTTTGGCAGTTAAGGTGATGCTTTTTGGATTATGTAATGTTCAAATGCCTTTGGAGACTGTATTGAGATGTCTTTCCTATGAAGCTTGTGCGGATATACCTGGATGACATCATCATCATTGGGAAAACTTTTGAAGTGCATTTTTAGAAAATTTTAAAGAGATGCTTCAGAAACTGAAAAAAGGCATTCTGAAGTTAAGTCCTGCCAAATGTAAATTACTCAGACAGGAAAAGTGATTTACCTGCATAATGTCATCTGTAATCAACGTGAGTATACTCGACAGTTAAAGATCAGAAATACTCCGAAAATGTCCATCAGCCGAGAAGTTTCCTGGAGCTTAGCTCCTGCTGTAGGAGATTTGTGAAAGACTTTTCTTCTATCACAAACCCCTTTCAAACTAACAAAAACCAAGCAAAAGTTCTTATGTGCAAAAGAATGGGAGGATGCATTCAAGAAACTGAAGGAGACTTTAATATCTGTGAGAATTCAAATGTGTCCACAGTTTGACAAACCATTTGTACTGTGGATGGATGCAAGATGCCGATTTGAGTGCTTTGAGTGAGGAGTTCCAACAGTGATATTAGTATCCTTGCAAGTGAAAAGATTTGAACTGTTTTGTTGAAAATACCTTTCCTGGTATTTATTTTTGAGCCATTAATTATTTTTTGAAGATTGGAGGTTAAACAGGTGACAAACGAAAGCATTACCATGTCTCAAACCATTTTTAATAGAGCAGGTTCTGAAAAATTATTCTGTGTGCTCTTAGTTTGGTCTGTGTTAGGATAATGACAAGTTTAACAAGCTTTTCAGGAATTTTAAGTTTCCTCATAGAATTAAAAAGCCTTTTTCTTTTAACTGAATGATAATTTTAAACTCTGTGAATAAAGCCTTATATTGTAGATCTCGTCAGTAGACCTTCCTTTACAAAAGCCACACTGATAGTCACCAATTATATTATCTGTGTAAACAACTAATCTGTTATAAAGAATATTGGAAAATAGTTTATAAAATGTGCAGAGTAATCTTAACGCCTGGATAATTCAAGTATTCCAAGACATCTCACATTTTATGAACAAGATGAATTGCTCGAAGTTTGAATTCTTCTGGTATTACTCCATCATTCCATAAAAATTCTATTATGAAATTGTGTATTTTCTGTACAGTATCTGGCCCAGCATTTTTAATAAATTCAGATGGTATTGAATCAGAACCTTTTGCTGACATATGTACAACTTCAATATGTTTAAGAGCAGCATTTGCATTATGCATTCTATCTGTCATTTCAGTCGGCCTCATATCAGCATAACCCAGCTAAATCATCACTACTACCAGTTTCACCTGCTGAGAGCTGTTGGACCAGTCCTTTAGCTATTCAAAAAAATATGTTAAGTATATGTGTATATAGATAGATATATAAAAGCTTTATTTTTAGCCATCTTTCCCAAAAGAATTTTATTGCTGAAATTTATAAATTTGCTAGTGCGTTAAAACTCATTATTCATTAATAGAAAAGAAAAACTGAGACTGTTACCTCATCTGTTGTAGCACTGCTTCTGTCACCATATTAAAACCGCAAAGGAAATTGAAAATTCATTAATTTTTATCATCTCCCTACTAATTCCAGCTAGTTGGTTATAAAAAACAATCTCATTATTTGTGAGTTTTTTGTAATGTTTCTTATTTTGGGTTTATCTGCTATGTTTAACTGAATCCTTTTTTTTTTTTTTTTTTGGCAACACATATTCCATTACAATTCCATTACAGTTTAGAGTTTTCCCAGAAAATGTATATCAGTTTTTAAGAAGCACTTCAATTAGTCTAAACAAAATTGAATTTTTATTAGTGCCTGTGTTTTTTGTAATGTAGTATTGGGATACTAATAAAATAAATTATACAGTAGTACTCTCTGTATTATACGAAAAAAAAAAAAAAAGCAGCAAGTACCGGTTATGAAAAATTTCTTCTTGATTATGAATAAAATATGCTGCAAGAAGTTTATAAATAATGCTTATATAAAAAATTATTATCAAAAGTGACTCCAAAGTGATCAAAAGTAGATAGATCTCTAAGGAACATTGCTTGATTGAACTACACTAACTCATTTTTAACCAAATATGCCCCAATGTTTTCTGTGAGCTTTATATGGCAATTAAGTATCTTCATATGTTATGTGTCAGTTCAATCTCAAGTACCCATATTCTAAATTCATCAAGTCACATCTTAGGGTATTTCCTTATATTAAACATTAGCAGTGTTACAAAAATTAGCAATCTTATCATGAGTTAAATTCCTTGCCGTGGAAACTATAGGTGTTATAGACAGCTACAATTTTGTAAGTGTTTGAGGGACAGATCTGTTCTAATCTTCAGAAATGTTATATATATGAGGTGTAGTAACATGTTATGGTACAAATATAATTAATGCAAATATTTAAAATTTTTTTTTTAACTATGCAATACCGTATTGGACGGCATATAAGATGCACTTTTTTTCCTAAATTTGGTCTCAAAAAAGATACCTGCATCTTATACGTGAAGGACACAGGTTAACTTTCAGTACTCAATGCTATTTTTAGCACGGACAAAGGTCTAGACACAAATAACTTTTTCTACGTCTACATGTGTGTGGCCTTCTAAATAAGGGTGTGTCTTATATGCTGTGAAATACGGTAATTTGTATTGCACAAGAATGTTGTATGAAAATTCAGCTTCGTAATTTATAATTTTTTCTTATTTAGAAAAAAGAAGGGCCTTGGGATTTGCTTAATTCATATAAAATGCAGTTACTATGTAAACCTTGCCCTCCATGTGTGGTACCTGTACCTTTACCATGTTTAGGCAATCATGAAGTAAGCTGAATTTATCTAAATATATATTTTTAAGGTATTTTTCTATTTTACTAATGAGTTATAGCAGTATTTGTTTTTCTGTGCAAATCTCTAATAATCCTTCAGTAGTGATAAATATAAACAGCTTGCTTACTTTTGAATTTTTCTCGTTGTGAGGTTTTCCATATTCACTTTATACATACTGACATATCTGAATAGTTGAAGCATTTATATACGATCATAAAATTTGCATGCATAGATTATTTAACTTGCATTCATTAAATTATATTTAAACAGTAACTGTCTTTAAGCCACATCTTGAAGCAGATGATTATGTTGTTAGTGTTAATATAACTACTAAAATAAAGAAGATCAGTTTATTTAATTAAGCCAAAGCATCTGAGAACTATCTCCCCAGTGATGGACTTTCTGATGGAATGGGCAGAGCATAAAAATCTTGTTCAACCCTGATAATAGAACCTGATGGTAATTCCAGCGCTTCATATGTTTAGCCACTGACCCTTAGTGACTTCGTAAATAATAGAAAATCATATGAATGTAATAATTATGCTAAAGGAAAAAGAACTATTAGTGACCATAGAAAATATCTGTATATATCTATCGATTTAAAGCGTTGAATGAGTACTTAGTGAAATTTTAAAATATGGCACCAAACGTGAGCTGTTGTAGAAGTATGCAACAACCTATACTTTCACTTAGAAATGTTGTTTGAGAAGAATGTACTCTGCATTCATTGTAACTGCATGTAAATTTTGTGTATTTGGATATGTATTTGGATATTTTTTCCTTTTCATTTTGCTCACTTAAAACTAAAACATAAAACAAATATTTTAATATTTTTGCTTTTTAAATCAAAACAAAAATTTAAATATAAAATATCTATTAAAGGGAAAAAAAGCATATATTCTCGATACATTTTTGTACATATTCATCTCCTTCTAAAGAGAGAGAGAGAGAAAGAATTGGCATTTATATTTACATAGTTTTTTTTTTTTTTTTAAACATTCATGACATACTTTATAACACATTATTCAGATTGTCACACTTTTTTTTTGTATAGTTGATGCTCATCATAACATCTCGCAGAAAAACAATGCAGTAAAGAGTGGTTGTTGTAGAGAAAGTGGATTCATTATACTGTAATGTGTTGAAAATTAATATTTTGAGAGAAATTTCATGCATACAAGCTCTGTACCTAAAACACAGAAGCAATTTTAATTGTATTTTCTGCAAGTACATTCTATGCTACTTTGGAGGAGTGCAAAGTTTCTCTCTTGAAATTGTATCTTTGTTTAGTTCAAAAAGTGATTTTCTCCGAAAGCCATTTCTTATATTTCCAATGCATTTAAAACTTAAAGTGATCCTTTGACCGAGAAACTAAGAATAGCATTTGTTGGCAGTTATTTCATTCTTATGTAAGTCAGATTGTTGATTTTGGATTGTCTGTTGCCAAGTATGATGACTACATTTCTGTTTACCCAAATGTCACAATCATTCATGCTTTCATTCACACTTTTCCTGTTCTTTCATTGATTTACTGGAAATGCCTTTAAAATGTAGATTAACGAATCACTAAAAGTGGAACTTTTCAATACTGATATTATGGATACATAAAACTTTTGCTTATAGATTTAGCTTTCTACTTTTCAGTTTCATCTTTAGACACAAAAAGTCTGTTTAAGTGTCACCATTAGAAACAGTCTGTAATCCTTAAGATTAAAAATGACTTCTGAGCCCTATTTGTCAATTACCATATTTTCTTGAAAATAAAACCCTTTATTTTTGTTCCCAAATTTGGTTAAGTTCTTATAATTGAGTATTTTAATAAATGAATCATAGAATGAGAGGGAGTTTAATAATACATTAAAGAAAATTATGCTGTTTAAATACTAAATAAATTACACAGGCTAACAATTAAAAACTATATATCTGTAATTATGAACTGCCTAGCTATCACTAATAATAATAGCCATATCTTGTCCAGTGACATATGAGGTCAGGACATATGATTTCAGTTTAGACTAGCATGTACTCTACATACTACTGCTATACTTACTTGAAAATAAATGAGGGTAGTGTGCCATTCATTCTGATTAGAATGATCTCATCAAATATTCACCTACATTTTTATTTTTTTAACTTTAGCAAAATGTAAATAGTGGTCTTATTTTCGATTAAATACAGTACACTTTTCAGACTGTTTTCAATTATTCGCTTTATTTTCTTATCCCTAAGCTGCAAAATATGGCACCCAAAATAGATGCACACCATTGTAGCATGGATGCTACAAATCCTTGGTAAGAGTTTGGAGGAAGATTGTACCAGATCTACAAATAGAAGTCATGTAGTTCGCATAGATTGCAAGAAAGTAGTTTATGCTTTGAGCTGGCACCTCATATGTCCTAGATATATATGTTCATTAAAATCCAGCAAGTTAAAACATCAACTGGAATTCATCAGCATGGTCCTCAAATGTTATAACATAACTCTGGTTTTGACAAGGGGTGTTACGTTGCCAAGAGTCTTACTTCTTTTAGGGAAGACAGAGGCCATGAAATGTTATCAAAGTCATGGGACTATTGGCTCCCAACTCCAAATTGATCTTTATATTTAGAACTCGGTTTCTTTAAATAACCTTAGTTCACATTTTTAATTCGAAAATAATCTTTATTAAAGTTCTTAGCAAATATAAACAACAGTTAGAATTGAATAATCTTTTTGTTGCCATTCCAAAAACAACAACAAAAGAACTTAAAATGATATTAATCAGTATTTAAAATTTCTGCATAAGTTTCAAGCCACAACAGTACTCCCTTCCCAGTAATTAAGTTATGGTAGAGCAGATTATTACCTTTAAACACACTATTTACAAAAAACCTTATAGATATATGTAAATGCTAATCCTGAAAATCACATAGGGGGTTTTATTGTCCATCCTTTATGCAACTTATTGGCACACTTCTCCATTGAGAACTTGGGGCCTTATTATGTTATTGTCCAACATAAATTGCAACTCTTGCTCAACTACTGTAAGCTCTCAAGGATCCAACTGCCTTGCTTTTAGAATGCTCAGGTTGACCATGTGTTATGATATGATGTTGAACATTATGTTTTAAACTGATGAGAACAAATTTTATTTGCATAAGTCTGGGTATTGTTTTAGAGTAGTATCAAATTTTGTCAAATGGTTTACTGCACCGATATCTCTATTTTCACTGATAGAAGCATTTTCACCAGTTACCTTTAGTTGAGTTACTCCATCGATCAGTTTCTTGCCATGTAAATCAATTATTAATTTAAATTTGTTAAGGAAATCAGCTACTAAAATACCTTTATTAGTTTTTGCCCCTGTAAATGGAAATTGGAATTCACACCTAAGTCCCAAATCAAGTGTTAACATTTTTATACCATACGTTTTGATTTCGGTACCATTTGCTGCATGTAATTTTAATTCCACAGATTGTTTGTCTTGTGTTGAAGCGGGTAAAATGGTAACGTGCACCACTATCTACTAAGAAACACATTTTCGATTTTTTTATCTCTGATAAATAGGAGTATTATCGACAGTAGAGCTTGCTGCCTCCTCTACTACACATTGGCGTTTCCTTGATTGGATGACGTATCGGTTGACCAACTGCACAGCTGAATACATTTACCCTGATGACATCTGTTACCAAAACGGAAATGATACAAACAATATTTTCCTTTAGGATTGAATCTTTTCTTAGAAGTACTGCGAGATCGTCTGCGGGACTGAGAGTTGTTCATAAATTGTGGTCTCGGTATATGATGAACAGTTATTTCGGCAATTCACTGTTCAAGGGATTGAATTTTCATTACAGTTCTGTATTCAAGCAATTACCAGCTGTTGATGCACCACAAATCTGATTGGAAGGTGTCATGTCTGAAATTTTATCAGCCATGATCGCCAACTTGGGTTATTCTTCATCACTAACAAGTATTATATTATGCATAGAATTTGGCAGTTTCTCCAACCATAACATTTTGATTAACTATTCATACACATCAATGTTGCAACAGATTTTAATACTTGTAATGATTGACTTGGTTTCAATTTGCCTAAATCAATTCCTGTAAGAAGTTTTTTTAATTCAAGTACTTTAACTTTCCTTAAGTAAATCCAGAAGCCTTGTTTTGGATTCTGAATATTTAGTAGCAGAATTACTTGTTATAATATCCCAGATGTTCTCAACTTATTTGGGTTCTAACTGTGATACTCAGTAGTTAAATTTGTTTTCTTCCCAAACAATTTCACTTATCTTAAACTGAGCCTCAACTTGAAAAAAACCAGATTTCTGGGTGATCTAACCAAAATGGAGAAATTTTAACACTTAACCCTATACGGTACATGTGCTGTATCCTCGATAGTTTTATCATCTTCAGACATATTCACTTTAAAATCAAAATTCCAAGTCACCAGTTATTGGCTCCTCACTCCAAATTGATCTTTATAATTAGAACTCAGTTTCTTTAAATTACATTAGTCCACATTTTTAATTTGAAAATAATCTTTATTAAAGTTCTTAGTAAATATAAACAACTCTTAGAACAACAAAATTGACTAATCTTTTTGTTGGCATTCCAAAATCAGCAACAACAACAACAACAACAAAAATTATATTAATCATTGTTTAAAATTTCTGCATAAGTCCAAGCCACACCAGGACTGCTTCATAATAGTGCCCCAGCATCAGGCTACTGCACCATTATACAACTCGATGCTGTTCCAAAAGACTGAAATCTTCATAATGGTGCTGCAACATAAGGAAATGTGCACAAACTGAATATCAGTTTATGGCCTGAAATTGATCATAGGCAGCTTTATGCCAGACCAACATCTTTCATAAAAGTGTGCACTCTTATGCAAGTTTGATTTTTTTTCCAATTAGTGATTAACTAATTAAGCAGCAGATGAAATAAATCTTTGGAAGAAAACATAAAATTGGCGAGTTTTGTAACATTGCATTATTAACAGTACAAATGCTTTTTTTCTAATATTCTAAATCAACATGCACATTACTAGCAGGGAAAAAAATCAGGTAGTATATTTAAATTGTTAGCATATGAAAAGCTGAATATCTCTGATAAATATTGAAGCTTAAGTATAAAGCATTTTTATTAAATTTATGGTCTGTATTCATTCCAGATCCCCCCCCCCAAAAGGGTAAAAAAAAACTATATACATCCATTTTCCCCATATTTTTGTCATCTTGTTGAAGATAAAGTCTTAATTTATTAAAATGCTCAAGTCTTCTTCCTTGAAGCACAACCTATAAATTTATTGATTGACAAAAACTTCAGCATCATTATGCCAATCCAGCATTTTTCATAAGGATATGGTCACTGTTATGTAATGTATGCCCTTGTTTTTCATAAAGGAGTTGAAGATTTATTTATCTCCTTAATTAATCAATCAGCATTTGAAATGAAAATTGGACTTTGTGTGCACCTTTATAGAAAATGCCAGATTTGCATAAGGGTGCAAATGATCAGTTTCAATCGAGAAACTGATTTCAGTTTGTGCATGCTTCCCTATGTCTGCAGTACTTTTATGAAGATCTATGTGTTTTAGAACAGCAGTTAACTTGCCTAAAGGTGAAACTCATTTATGCCAGGCACCACTATAAAGGCACTCAGAAATGGTCATGAGAATGTTTCCCAAAGCATAATACATCCACTGCTGCCTGTTAAATTATGATACACATGTCAATAAACCGTTCATCTGGAAGAAGAAAAAGACATGATTCATTCAATCAGAAAATTCTTTTCCATTGTTGCATGATCCATTCATGATGTTTTGGGAGCCATTGTAGCTATGAACTTCGATGCTGCTGTGTTAATAGAGGCTCATATCCAACACTGTCCAGTGAGCTGTGTACTTAAAAGCACATGTATTTGGATCAGCATTGTAAGTTGAACAACCAGCAGCCACCTGTTTTGAATTCACAAAGTCATAGAGTCACCAACATCCATGTTCATTCATCAGGGATGGACATTCAATGCTTTGGTGTCTATTACTGGCTTTACTGTCTTTCTTCCAGTTACTAACAGTGGCAGCTCTAGAACACTTAATGAACAGTGTTGTTTTGGAGTTACTTTTTCCTAGCCTTTAAACCTTCACAATCTATTCTTTATTAAAGTCACTCAACTCTGCAGCTTTCCCCACTACATATACACATGTAATATGAAAAAAATGATATGCCAGTAGTATCACTAGCAATCAATCAATAACATGCTCATCTTGTCCCATTACATCTATCCTATTTCAGTGAGTGTATTCTCACAGCGTAGAGGCGGTCATAATGTCTGCTTATTATCTATCCAGTTCTTGAAGAAAAATTGGGAAATATGTTGAATTTAGAAAACATCTGGTAATTATGCATTTATCATTATAACAAGCAATCATTACAGCAAGCATCAAGTGTATAACTGCAGTACTTGAAATATATTCTAAGTCGTCTGTAACTGACATGTTGATCAATGTTTAAATCTGTGACAGCATGCAGTATATATATATTTTTCTACAGTTTCTTCTTCCTGCCATTCTTTTCAAAGTTTTTTTTTAATGAATCTGTCCTTAAGATTTGCTATTTAAAGTTGCTTAGACTTGTTAACATGGTTCACATTACTGGATCATTTACAATTACAGTCCATGTATTACAGTAATTTAATTTTAAATGCATATTAATAAACAAATTAAAATTTATTAATAATAGTTTAATTTTCTATCCATGGCAGCAAGTCTTGATTATCATTTAGGACATAAAGTTCCAAAATCATCCTGTAATTCTTCACATATGTCATTAAAATTAGGAAAGTAGGCAGTGGAAGCCACTGAAGGAAAACTGTGCCCTAGACATTCTGGGCTCTGCTCAGTAATAACTGTTTAATCAGGCAACCAGCATTTCTTAAGGTATTTTGGCTGTTAAAATTGATCATTTTTCATCTTTATATTCTTAGATTTTGAATTTTCCTTGTTGTGAAGCTCGAAGAACATCTTGTGGTAGACCATGTGGACGGGAACTTTCATGCGGAAACCATTCATGCTCTTTAGAATGCCATGACACTGGGAATGCAAATGACACAATGGTAGTAACATTTAATATAGTCTATAAATGAAATTCTCTTTTTTAAATCTTATGTAAATGTGTTAAGTATGTGAATAATTTTCATTGCATTATAATTTATTTAAAACAGGTCTTTATTATTTGATAATTTTACACTTAATAGTATTTAGAGCTTCTTCTAACATTTTAACCACTTAACAGTCTCTTTTTTCTGACATATTGTGTCAAAAAATAAGCATATTTTTCAAAAACAATTTTATTTTAAAATCGATTATAGAAACTCAAATCAAGAGTCAAAACTATTATAAGTGATGAATTTATGAAGTTATGATAATTTTTATTTACAACGAAAAATTACATTTTTACTTAAAGTTGGCTTTTTTCCGGTGAAATAAGCGATCTGGGAAACACTTTACAGAAATGAATATTAGAAGAGAGAATTTATTATTATACTTACATCTAATATCTTTTAAAATTCAGCTTTTGTATGAAAAATTTTAAAACACGGTGACAAGCATAGTCCAACATCACAGTCGGGACAAAAATATCTAGTTTCTTTTCTCACTCTTTTACCGAAATCGTTTCTTTTAGAGCAGCACACAAAGCACTGCCTCGTTGGTCTCAGTTTTTTGTCGCTGGGAGCAATCACTTCTAAAAAGTGCCTTTCAGTCAATCGTAAGGGATTGGGCAAAATTCCTGGTCGTCCTTTTTTTTCATTTACAGTCCCGTGTCTTTCAATCAGGCGATCAATTATATCAAGTCTGAAATTCAAATGCGAAGTATTTTCCTCCATGCTTCTGGTATAAAACGAATGCATTTCCACAGCGATACATCTAAAAGGTGGAAGAATATTTTTTTGTAATATTTCTTTCCTCTCTTCTTTGTGACTGGATAATTGGTGAGATGCTGATCCATTCTATCAACACCTCCCATGGTATTATTATATTCCATCACTACCTTTGGTTTCTTTCTGACTTCATCCTTGTAAGATGGAACTTCAATCATTATAGAGTTGTGTATTGTGGATAATAGAGATACAGCTTTCTTATCCATCCATTTCATTAGACAGACTTTCCCTCTTTGGTACGCACAGATTTCTCCTAATTTTAATTTTTTCTTCTGTAATTCTTTTGGGATGTGTTTTCTGGTAAGTTTGAGGGTTCCATATATATCTGTTTGATGGTTGATAAGGATATCTGCAAGTTCTGGTGATGTGTAATAATTGTCTGTCGTTAGGCACTTTATTCAATAGTGGCTGCATAAGTGTCATCACTACTTGAGAGGATTTGCACAAATGCTGGTAATTATCATCAAAAAGTGTATCTTTCCCAGTGTATATAATAAGTTGATACACATAACCTGACTTCGATTCACATAAAATAAAACTTTTTATGCCGAATCGTGATCTCTTTAGAGGTATATACTGTTTCCAGTGTAATCTTCCCTTGTACAGCATCAAACTCTCATCGATTGTAACATCTCTTTCAGGTATGATAGTTTCTCGGTAACGAGTATTCAAATGCTTGATGATCGGCCACAGTTTCTGCAGTTTTGGACACTCATGTGTTTTAGCATCAAATTCGGTATCATCAGAAAAATGTAAATACCGGTGAATAAGATAAAAGCGTCGGTAGGACATAATTTTGGAAAAAAATGGAGTTGATGTTGAATGTCTCTTACTCCAGCATTGCTCAACTTCAGGCTTTTTCACAATTCCTTGTAAAATATTCAAAGCAAGAAACACTTGAATTTCGCACTTTGTTGTTGGTTCCCATTTTTTTGCTCCGCTTTTCCTTCGTAGATTACTACTCCAAATGGTCCGATCTGCATATTTATTGGTTTCAGAAACTATAATTTCAAGAAGATTATCATCAAAGAAAATATCAAGAAATTGTAGAGTTCCATTACTTAGATCAATATTTACATGAACAGCTGGATTTGCTGTGAATGGAAATCGAGGTGGAGGTAAAGGAGGATTTGTTATATCTAGTTCACAAAAGTTTCGAACTTGAGTTAGGTCATCCGAACTTTCCGTTTCCTCATCACTTGAAAAGTCCGAAAACGAACTTTCATTACTTCCAGAATCATTTATAGAAATTTCAGATTCACTGTCTGATCCACTGTAAGAGTTATCATCTGTTATGAGATGTTCAAAATCACTCATTCTTCTACTTTTCAGCTTCAAAAGAAATAGAATTCGCAGCGAGCTGTATAGTAAGCAGATTGAGTCAAAACCAAATGACAACTTTTCCGCATAAAAGATAAACTAGAAAGCGGATTTGCAATCAGATCTTTCCTGGACTACTAGAGCCATCTGTTGGAAGCATTGCAAACTAATCAAGCATAAAATTCGGGCAAATCATTGCAAGAGAGGAAAAAAATCAGTCGCACGAGCGGCGTTCGGGCAAAACAGGGAAGGCCCCTTTTCCCGAACACCAGGGAAGTGGTTAAGTTTTTAGTCTTTGTCAGTATAATATTGTTTTTTGTATAATATAATGATGGTTGAATTTAATTACATTTGAACAGACTGAATACACAGAAAATTTTATGTTCTAAAAAGGTATGAAAAAAAATATAGTGTTAGGTGTTTCAAAACTGCCTGATCCCTCATCTTTCAAACAAATTTGTATTTTTGTTTATTCTCTTATAGCAAACTGACAAATGTATTACTTGCAATGAAGTTTGTCAGAAGCCAAGACCATTTGGATGCAATCATCCTTGCAGGCGTCCTTGTCATCCTGGAGACTGCAATCCTTGCACTCAGCACATAAAGATGAAATGCCACTGTGAAATCAATACGATATATGTTGCTTGTTCTGAATGGGTAGATGCAGATGATTCTAAAAAGAATGCACTAATGTCTTGCTCAAACAGATGTTGTAAAAAGGTGAGATTTCTTATATGTGTTTACTTGCTGCATAGATGTTTTTATAATTAAACTTCTTTGCTTATCTTGGACTTAAAATCGGCAATAAAGCCCCATTACCATTTACCAAAAGAGACTACAGTGATTTCAAAGGCTGTCTAATCAACACTATCCAGTTCATAAGATAAAAGTGCTGTTATAAAGGTATTTAAGATTTATGAAGTATACTCTTAGATACACATGAAAGCAGGCTGAAAGAGGAAATTCACTATATACGAATTACTTGCTTTGCACTTGTAGAAACACAGCAGATACTGGTAAATTAGCATTTTATATGCCTTGTGCCAGGCCATATACTTAAGCCATTTTATGGGCGATATAGTGATAAAACAAATACCAGTTGGTTATTAGTAGTTTGTTTACATAAGAGTTTATATAAAATCAATCATTTATAATTTTGTGCCAAAAATTGGTCTGTTTTTTTCTGCCTTTCATTACAGCACATTCATTGAGTCTGTCATAATTAGCATCAGCAAAATGACTTTTCTCTATATACATACATGTGGAAATATTATTACAGGCTGATAAGTGATTTTACACAACTAATTTGAACTTGCTTGCAGGAAATGGTAGAAAGAGAAGCAGTTTGAAGAATAGCACAGATTTAAGTATGATTCTTCAAATCAAAGTCATGGGAAAACCTGTGGAGTACTAAGCTAAGTTGCAGTTTTAATATCGGGTTTTAATGAAAGTTTCCCACCACCACAAATATCGTCTATATAAACAGTTCATGTTGCCGTGTTTAATCATATTTTCTCAAACGATTTTTGGCATTTGATAGAAAGAGACTTGTTGTAGAACACTGTTGTGAAATTTGCAAAAAGATACCATTAAGTGTCCGAAATGGAACTATCACACTACCAGATTAGAATGATCTGGTACTGTGATTAGAATGAACTTGCAGTTCTGCTACAGAAAGCCAGCTACAGAATGTCACCAAATCATGTGATGGAAAGTTGATTTACTTCAACAACACAGGCCGAAAAGGCGATTGGTCTGCATCCGGTGAGCCCGTTGGCAGTGTCGCAAAGTGCAATTTGACTAATAAAAAGATCATGCTTTGAATAGGGTTGCCACGCTACCGGAACAAGTCAGGGAATTTGAAAATTGACCAAAAAGTCAGGGAATTTCATATGGTGATCCCCCCAAAAGGCGAGTTTTGCAAGGAATCACTTTTTTGGTGAATTGTGTATCACATAAGCATCATTGTGGCAGAGCCAATTTTCACAGCTTCAATTAGATTGTGCTTTAGAAAGCAAAGCAATTTTTTAGCAACTTTTGGTTTCCAATTACCTCTAAAATCAAGAGAATCACATGTTGAAGTAAAGAAAAATGTTTTATGCAAGAATAAGAAAATACTTATTCTCGTATAAAAGAGAATGAGTTTAATCCTAGTATACGGTACTGTGGAGGTTAGAATGAAAGAATATGGTTAATGTAAAAGCCGGTGTTGAACTTCGAAGGTCACGTTATCAAGAGTTCATAAAATGAATATCTTTTAAAATTTCTTTAACCTTTAAAGGAAAAGAAAATATTGTTTCGCGCAAGTAAATTAATTAATTAATGCCTTAGTTATTTTGAACCACAACCAAAAAAAAAAAAAAAAAAAAAACTACGAAAATCCATTTTTAAATTATTGCAAAAAATCAAACAAGAAACATTTTATCAAAGAAGGTTTCTTCTTAACACGTGTTCCTCAATTTCCTGTACACATCGCGGAGAGGGAAATTCTGGCCGCCAGGATCCGTTACCACCCTTGGCAAAATTTCCCTTTGCTTTCTAGCAGCGTAATAGCATTACGTCTATGGAACCTTTTCTTCTATACATAGACGTCCTTTGGTTAGGATAACCTCCATGTATTCTATTCTAACCTCTATGTACAGTACATACGGGATTTGGCGACATTATGATGAGCAGTAAACGGATCATTTTGGTGTTGGCGACAATTTTCAAAATTGTGCCAAGGCCTTACAGTATGCTAGAATTTTACCACAAAATCTTTTAAACCTTTTTTTTTTTCTTATAATAAATGCCTTATTTCTCATTTTATAGTAAAATAACAAAATAGTAATCAGTCATCTAGGCTAACCATGTAACAATATAACTATATTCGCTAAAATATCGTTGATTATTTTAATTCAGTTTTTAAGTAATTATCTTTATTTTTATGTTATTATTATCATTTAATGTTACTTCTTCCTCTAAATTTATTTATTATTAGTAAATAATACTTCCAAATTTCACAAAATTTTCTCTGGCATAATCCTTAAATTAATTCTAGTAGTATGATGACATACCATAATGAAATTTAATGCACATATTTTTTGCTTATATATGCTGCGAAATAAATATTAAATACCTGAATTTATTTTAAAAATATCATTAAATAGATTTCTTTCTTTCATTTAGCTGCAAAATGTCTGCAAAAAAACCTTCTTTTATTCCAGATTGGGCAGATTCTGATCTCAATCTGCAGTGGAGAAAATAACTCCTGTTACAATAGTAATGCTTTGGGGATATAAGTCATATGTAATTGGCAAATTTTCGTGTTTTCAAGTATTACCATAATTCATTTACCTCTTAGCACAGCCAACATGCATTACATGGATAAACTGGAATTTTCTTAAAACACACCTGGAAAACTCGGGTAATTTCATTGTCCTATTTGAATCTGGTGGGATTATCCACAGAGTATCTGAAGAAGGGTAAAACCCTCGACAGTAAGGTGTACAGCAAGATGCTAGTCAGTGTTTGATGCTGCTATCAAGGAAAAACATCGAACCGAGTTCACACCCAAAAAGGTAATGTCCCATTGAGATAATGCAAGAGCACATGTGTCTGCATTCACCGGCTGGACTGTGTGTGGACTTGAATGGGATCTTTTGCTACACCTGCCATATAGCCCGAACGCCTCTCCTTCGAAATTCTACCTTTTTCTACATATCTTCTGTTTTGCACAGGACATCCGAAATAAGGTTGATCTGTTTTGGGATTTTTGGCTACCAAGTTTCTGGGCCGAAGGTTTTGAAAACTTCCAAAAGTTTTGCAGAAAATCATAGATTTGGGTGGTGATTACTACCTGCACTTAAAGGTACTGCTTTCATGTTTTTTTTATCTTAACTTTATTAAGAACTTTTTTTGGCAGACAACTTTCGTTGCAACCAGATAAAATTGGACCTTAGGAGTAATATTTGTAAAGTCATGTTTTTTTGAAGCAAGAAATGAGCAATGCCTTCGCCGGGGTTCGAACTTGGACCTCTCGAATACGCTACGAATGCACTGAGTGTGCCACCGCTACACCACCAAGGCATGCGGAAAGGAGGGAGAAAATATCTTATATATTAAATTCTTCACTACCTTAAATTTATCTTTTCATCTGTTTACAATACTCTTACTAATAGAAATATATGTTGAATAGCTGCAATGGATTCTGGTACAATCAACAGAAGCATGGAGATGAAAAATAACATAGCCATTAGTACTGAAAACATCGTAATAAAACCTCATCAATAGTATTTCATGGATTTCCTACCTTTTTTCACACCTGCAGCTACATCTTGCTGGTGCTATCTTACATTCTGCACAGAATGTCCAAAATTAGGTTGATATGTTTTGGACTCGTGGCTACCAAATTTCTGGGCTGAAGGGCTTTGAAAAACTACCAAAAAGTTGGCAGAAAATCATAGATTTGGGTGGTATTTACTACCAGCACTAAAGGTACTGCTTTCATGTTTCCCCCTCTTAACTTTATTAAGAATGTTTTTAGCGGAAAACTTTTGTTACCAGATATTTTGTATTAGTGTCATGGTCTCATATTTTAACCGAGTTTTACAACACTTAACATACCTGGCATTTTTTAATGCACAGCACAGTTGTTGTGATTAGCTTCTGAAAATATTATACATTATAGCTTTTCCTTGTGAGTTCTGTTTCAAGATCTACTGCCAGTGCATCTATCTACCTATACTCTGCTACTCTAAATCGGGTATTTTGAGGCCATCACATTTTATCGTCTTCAGTCATAACATCTTCATGCAGTATACATTTTCTTCCATTTCGGTTGACAATTAATTAGGTACCTCTTTATCTCTATGCGCATAAGTTCTGTTTATAGATTTTTAAAGCCTATAAATAATAGTGCTTGTTTATAAAATTACAATTTTACGTTTTAATATTGGCAACATTGTTTTAAAAGACTGAATTAATGTATCTGGCATTAGTAGATAATGTTATGATTTTGGGGAATGTGGTAGTTCTAGCTATGATAATCTTTGATAATTTTTTATGCATTTATTTTTAATGCTTTCTCTTGAAGTATATGCTGCTTAGAAAGTATAACATGTAGAAATCATTAACAATTGGTAGTGGAAATGGTGGTTCTTCCCTCTGGTGATAAATTTTTATAACATTGTTGATAATAATTTGTGAATAAAAAATAGAAAACAAGAATACCTTATGTGTGTAAACAAAATCAAAAATGAATTAAGAAATGTGAAAGTATGAAGAAATGTCATCAAAGCTCATGAACCACCAAACTTGGGAGATACGGGATGATAATGCAATAGTAAGAAATATAATGAGTCAAACTATGACAGCTCCACACATGTTAAAATATATGAATAAAAAGAATGCAAAAAGAAGCTTTAAGACAAAAAATGGAATGGTGACAAAAACAGAAGCTACTCAAATAAAATGTAGAATAGAATTAGCTCAACTAAAAATGAAGATAAATCCGTAGATTACGTAAATAGAGCTGCAGTTCTAAAAAGTGTTCAAATAGAGGACAAAATAAAAGATAAAGAATAAATATTCGATATTAAAAGGGCTTCCGAATGAATGTATATATTTGAGGTCACAATCATTAAAAACAACAGAGAAAAAGATATAGATGCAATTAGAGAAGCAGTAAAAGAAACTGAAGAAAAAAATAGAGGCGAAAATAAATAGAAGTAGGTTTCTAA